GTTCGGAAAATCGACTCCGTTCCGAACATTTTTTTGGACAATGCCTACAATAACTGAACAAACTTTTTTTATAGGGTATTTGAAATTAATAAGCGCAAAAAAAAATTTTTAAACCTCTGATCATCGATAACTAATCCATCTTGACTCTGCCTAAGTATTAGAGGTAGCAGTCAAATTATTTAGCCCTTTGGGTGTTTATAAATTTGCAAAGATGATTATGCAAATAATTAAACAAAAAAGGATAATAAATTTTATTATTATTGTTTATATATTTGCTTCTATTCATTTTTATTTTATTTTTACTCTTAATTTGCTGTAGCTTTCTCATTATACTTTGGAATCCTTATCTAGATTATATATCAATCAATTTCCTAGGATTTCAGGTATCATTTTCATTTGATAAATGTTTCAAAAAAAAGAGAGAGAAAGACTTAAAAATGTTCATTTTACAGGAAATGTAATTACCAGCTATCTTACAATCTCTTAATGGTGAACCTAAAAAATGTATTATAGAATGGGTGAATATTGTTCAAGCAAAACACAGTTCAGATAATATTGACAGTGATGATGATGATAATGTAACTTATTATGGAGACCCATTTCTCATAATTAAATAGGATGAAATAGAACTTATCCAATGAAATGTTCAAAAAAGTACTGTGATGAATTGTATATATATCGATATTAATTATTGTAATTTATATTAATTGAATAGATCTTTAACAAATAATATTTGTTCTATAGATATTTGTACATTTCAAGGTTATAACCCTTTTCCAAGTGCTGGTCGATCTCTATTAGATTCTCTTTTCTATATTGTTGATATGTCAAATATTCATGCTCAACAAATAATCAATAACATTATTGCTGCATTACAAGGAACATACTTGCAAAGAAATATACCTTCTTTAGGAAGAGTTTATACTGTAGTTGTAGTATGAAACAATACTTTTGAATCTGCTAAAATTTTTTCTATTTTTCTTGTAATTTGCATATAAATTTTAATAAGAGTAAATATTCAGAATTTAAAGTTTCACAACTTATTTCTGCAATGATATAAAACACTGTTTTTATATATTAATTATATAGAATATTCATTCAGCTTTATCAAAACTTCATATTATAAGAAGGAGAATAAATTTATCTTCAGTGCCAAATCAAAATTCTGCAAAATTTGTATAATTTAATATTTTTGCTTTAAAGTACATATATAAATTTTGCTTTGAACAAGTTATTTAGAAGACAAACATTGTGACAGATTTGCAAAATTTGTCATTTATTATAAGAAATTATTGCACATGTGCACTGAATTTTGAGTGTGAAACACACAAGTTATTCGTAAACATATGGGGTAGTGCATCTAAAACGTATAATAAGGCGCAACATTGAAGTGAATTTTTACATGTTGCCATAAATAATTTTATATGTAATATATGCATTTTATATACTTTTTATATATATTTTATTGCAATCACGTATGTTAAGCTGTGTTTTGGTTTGATGCACCCCATATGTTAATTAATAATTTGTGGAATTTAAAAATGACACATAACATAATCACACAATACAATTAGTTTGTTAACCACAAATAACAAGCATCAATTAATAACTGATATAAATTAAAAAAAAGCACATAATAATGCAAAGATAATTTTTTGATAAAATAGCTATAATAACGTTATGATGTATAATTTTTGATTAATCCTATGCGATGGTTTCTATTTCACAAGAAAGATGTAATAAAATATCAAAATATAAACTCTACAAAACCCAATACTGGGTGTCAAAAAGTCCTTTTATTGTTGTGATTTTGCGTAGAAATTATTGTAATTTCAGCATAAGATCACTAAAAAAAATTAATTATTAAGTTTTAACATCTACTATACTCTTTGTCAAGCTCTAAAACAAAATTTCATAGTAAAATAGGCTGAAATTTTAGCATTCTTAGCATCAGATGTGACCTTAGTCAAAAACACTATATTATTATTAGTAATGACATATTATTACATTGCTTGTTAAAACTGGGCAGTGAAGCTGTTTGCATGTGTATTTTCTAGTTTTATTAGACATAGCTGTAAATCTGGCTGCTGATTATGCTTTAATATTTCCAATTTGCAAATTAAATCAAAACGAAATATGGCTTCTAATTCTGACACAATCACTTGTAAAAATTACCAAATATACTATTTTAAATTTGAATTTCTTTATAAACTCATATTTATATAATACCTTGCCTTATTTAATTTGTGTTTAATCCAGGTGCATGAAGTGCCAACAATTAATTTTAAATTTCTGGCACTGTTTACAACATTGTTTTACTTATTAAATATTATAAGCATAAGCAACCATTTTGCCCCATGCTTATTACTATCTCAACTACATAATTTCTACATATACAGGGTACTCAAAATATATAACACAATTATGTAAAAAATGTAAAAAAAATATCCAAGTATTAAAAACATGAAAATTAACGATATGCTCATTATGCAAATTATGTAGAGGTTAATTATACTATTTTGTATAAATTTATGTTATATTTTTAGGTAACTGTGATACCTCAAGTTCTAGTTTTAGAGAAAAAAAAGAATGATACTGTACATATTCAAAATACAAAATAAATTTACAAATATAAAAAATTTATTATTATATAGAAAAATAATTTATAGGGGACGACTAACTAGATTGAATAATCCTTTGTAAGAAACTTAAACAGTATTAGTTTGCTTACTAAATCTGAGTAAATTTTATCAGAATGAATAGAATGAATTTCTTCAGAATGAATTTTATCATAATTGGTAATATTTTTACTATTTATTTGGCTTATTAATTGCTTAAATCTTTCACGAGACTTGGATAATTCTAATAAGACTTGTTATCATTTTGCCATTTTGTAAAGACTTCTGCAACTTTGTCTGCAGATGGATATTTTTCGGGGTTTTTGTCCCAACATTGTTTCATTAAATTAACATAATATGTTTCTCTATATTCAAAATCTTCAAGAATTTCTTTATAAATTTCTTTTCTAAGTTTTTCACTGATTGGAGGCCTTAATTTATCGAGTACTATTTTTTCTTGCAAATGTGAGCCAAATATCTCGTTATAAAGTTCAGTCACTGATATTTCATACAAAATTTCCCACATAATTATGCCAAATAAATAAATATCAGATGCTTTGGTATATTGTTTTCTGTTTGTAACTTCTGAATCAATAACTTCTGAAGCTATATATAGTAAAATTCTACAAATCGCATTAGATTCAACTTTGAATCCACATTTACTGATATCGAAAGCCCCAAGTCTGCAATATATGCACTACTTAAACTACAGTACCTAACAAAAGTATTTCCGCACCTGTAATTTCTGAAAATTCAAGCATAGAAGCTTGAAATTTCATACAGGCAAGGGACATCGTGCATGCAGATTGTACTAAACTTCTTCAGGCACTGTATATAGTAAAAATGCCCACGCTGCTTATACACCAAGTTTCAATCAAAAAATGCCTTTTCCTTTGCATAAGTGATATAAAATCACCTTTTTAACTAGCTACTCAAAGGGCCCCAAGCTCTCATTGTGTAAGACAGCGAAGCAGGTTCACTGTGATGAAAAAACAGCATAAGAATAGGCAAAAAGATGGCAAGAAAGCAAAGACTTAAGCAACAAACCAAGGTTGAGTTATCAAAGAGTTACCACCCAAAAACAAGACAACCGAATTTTTAAGCTAGCAAAAGAGAATATAGATATTACAGTACCAGAAATCTACCGTGAGCTTCCTAAACAGAACGTAGACATTCACGTGTGCACTATTCAACAGCACCTTGGTAAAGGTAGAGCTCACTATTATGGAAAACTCGCAAAGCTATTGCTCGGAGAGAAGTATCGGAAAAAATGACTCTCATAGGCAAAGAAACATAAGGATATTAATTGGAATACCACGATATTTACTGCTGAAAGTAGTTCCACTTGAATCAACAGTTAAAAAAGGCTTGGCAGTTCGTCAGAGCAAGAAAAATAACCTGTTCCGTTAAGCATCTGTTGAAGGTTCATGTATGGGGTGTTTTTCTTCTTCAGGCTTTGAAAGGTTAGTATGCTTTACACATGACCTTAATGTGCAATATATAACCCCTCTGTATGAAACGGCTCTTCTACCTTCTGCTGTAAACCTTTTTGGTAAAGGTTGTAATAGTTGGATTCTGCAGAAGGACAATGACCTGAAGCACTATTTGAAAATCGCGAAGGCATGGAAGGAGGAAAATGATGTCAAAGTTCTCCCTTGGCCATCAATGTTACCCAACCAAAACCTGATTGAGAATGTCTGAGGACTTATGAAAATGAATCTGACAAAAAAAAATTAGAAAGCTTAGTACTCTGAAGGTACAAATAACAAAAGAATAGAATCAATTGCTTAAGGAGTATGTGGCAAATTTGGTAAGGAGCATGAGGTGTCATGTGGAGGCCCTAATTAAATCTGAGGGCGATTATACTATGCATTAATTTTCATGTATTTTAATGTACTTTTAAATAAAAAAAAATTTTTCGCTACCATATCTCTGTGCCGAGTTATAGGTGCGGGGAAACTTTTGTCAAACACTGTATTTAGTAAAATATTGTCACTATGTAAATCTTGGTGAACATGCTCTTGAGAATAGATAATCTGAAGATCCAAAGCAATAAAGTGATTGCACTGTATTCCATCATCATGTCCCATTTCTGCAGATTTTTGATAATAAATGAATACCTTAACTTATGTTCATCCTTTTCAACCCCAATTCCATTTTTATAACAATATCCAACATTATATGTTCCTCTTGCATCCCCCATCTCGGCTGATTTTTGATAATAGATAAATGCCTTATGTTTATCCTTTTCAACTTCAATTCTATAATAATAACAATAGCCAACATTAAATGTTCCTCTAATATTACCCATATCTGTAGATTTTTGATAATAAATAAATACCTTATGTTCATCCTTTTCAACTCCAATTCCTTCATCATAAAAGTATCCGCCCATATCTGCAGATTTTTGATAATAAATAAATGCCTTATGTACATCTTTTTCAACTACAATTCCATGAAGATAACAACATCCAATATTATATGTTCCACTAGCATTTCCCATATCTGCAGATTTTTGATAATAAAAAAATGTCTTATGTTCATCCTTTCAGCTCCAATTCCTTTTTGATAACAATGTCCAACATAATATGTTCCTTTAATATTACCATATTTGCAGATTTTTGATAATAAATAAATGCCATATGTTCATACTTTTCAACTCCAATTCCATTTTGATAACAGTGTCCAACATTATATATTCCACCATCGAGTCCCATTTCTGCAGATTTTTGATAATAAATGAATGCTTTATGTTCATCTTTTTCAACTCCAATTCCATTTTGATAACATATCCAACATTATATGTTCCTTTAATATTACCCATATCTGCAGATTTTTGATAATAAATAAATGCCTTATGTTCATCATTTTCAACTCCAATTCCTTCATCGTAACAAGCTCCAACATCCATTTTCATTTTGAATTTTGCGTATGAGAAAACGATACTACTTAACTAAGATTTTATAAAATTCGAGAAATGAGTATTTTATTGTCAAAAAGATTTATAAACTAGGTACATCAATATATAATGTTTGCTTTTTGGAGTTTGTTCTCTATTCCCTATGTATAATTGCTAAATTTTGTTGGACAGATTTTAAGCGTAAGAAACAATTTTATGAATTTTATTAGCTATTAATAGGCAGATTAAATAATAAAATCTGAATGGTTAAAGTAAGCATTAAAGATTTAGTTGAAGCGATATAGAGCTATTTGCGCAAGCTGATCAACTATATATTATATACCAGGAACGAAGTGTATGGTTAACAGCCAACTAACTGTGTACAAAATCTCGAACTCTATTGGACAGCGTGATTCTTGTATGT